GTGTGCGTGTTCTTTAGATCCTCAGATGGCTCTAGCACTTTCGTGACCACGGGCTGAGAGTCTTTGCTAGATTCTGGCATTTAGCAACTGACATACGGTTTAATGTGAAGACAACAACAACAACAACCGTCGGAGACAGATGTGAGTGCGGGTGTGGGTGGGGTCTTAACGAAAGGAAAAAGGCGAAAGAGTGTCCAAGTGGTAAGTGTCGAGGAGTGAATGATACTGTAGAGTTGCACCGGTAGGATTAAAGAACGATACGGAGGTAGACTACACGTAGTGATGTCTTGCTATCGAGTGTGTTTTTATGCACGTCCATAAACAACGTATAGGACATCTGCAACAGTTCGGCGTGCTGTAGACTAGCGAATGCGCGCATGTACCCCTCTTGTAACTACGATATTTTATTAGAAACACCACTCCCTCTGGTCGGAAATACGAGGAAGGTCGGTTCAGACAACATAGGATATTGAGGTAAAAACAGAGTATTCCCTCGGAAATTTCGTATACAAGAGGTCATGAATTCGATTCCGCTCAGAACATATATATGTGATTCCAAGAACATATTGAATACTGTATCTGAATACAATATATTGTCTTCCCTTCGTTATGGCCCGTCCAACTTGCTCATTATTGCCACCGTGAATGTTTTGTCCCGGTCAACACCAAAGACCGCTCAAGATACTAGCCTCAAAGATGTGATTGTAGGTGTAGCTTATGCCACCAATAACACATACATATCAACAATAAAACAAGAATATTATGCATATTTTGGCGCGTACGAGAGAAAATACGACACACACCATCTCCCTTGCGAACCACTTTCTCGGGAGATCAGCATCAGAGTCAATTTGCTCACGGGAGGGGATGATCAGCTTATCATCCCCTACGTTGAATATTTTCCTTTGACCGCCTATCCCGTCCGAGCATGACAAAATTGATATATACGCAAGGAAACGATTAATGAGCGTCTTTCAAACAACCGGCCTTCCTTGTATTCCCGGGATTTCCAACTAAAGAACTGTGAAAAGAAGGAATCGTCCTCGACAGACGTTGGGGAGACACCATAGTTTCAAGGAGTGATGCCGTGGGCGGTAGCTTGCTCCTAGAGATAGATGAAGGTTCTGTCGTTGACACGCTTGTCCACGACCTCGTTGAGATGGGAAAGTTGCTTGTTTTTGCTGAGAGACGATCAGCAAAGGTCTGGGATGAAGTGGGGATCGTTCATCTCAGGGGGTACACAGATTAGACAATTCTAAAGGGGTAGGGGTCAGAAGGGTATACCTCCTGACCGACCCGCATCCTATCAACAACAAGATGTACCCTATTCATGCTAGCAGCCACACTCCTTAACACTAGCCCACCCTGAATGTCATATATGCAGATTCTATACTCAAATCAATGCTTAAATCCTAGTCTAAAGCTACAGTAAGATTTTAGCTGATGAACGCTTGAAGGGATAAAGCTACGAAGAATATATATTGCGGCAGAGCACGCTATCATCCTGAACAGACGACGACAGGGAAAAAAAAATCAATATCTAGACGCCACACACCACTCTTTTACGCGCCCCCACGCGTATCACCGCTGGAGGAATGAGGGTGACTACCCGAGCGAGTCCAAAATACGGTGACGAAATTCAAAACCCAAACAAATTTCCGAACGAATACTGCCTTTCATGCTGGACGCGACGCAAAGGGAAAACTCAACGCAATCTAGGACGTTAACGAAGGGCAGGAGAAAAGAACGACAGGCAAAGGCACGGAGAACGATGGCCAGCGTGCCAGGGTACCCAACTCGTATAAGGAGACGGCAGGGGCAAGACCTATTGAGGACCAATGATGCAAAGCACAAGCGATCAATGCAAGAGAGGCGGTCGACGAACTGCGCCATGGCTCGCTGGCGATACGCATCATTCAAAGACATAAAACGCAGAAAGTCCTAGTGATTCACACCACAAGACGACGACTCAGGGGCGCTACTGTGGTGAAGGCGTCGCCCGAAGGTGGCGATGATGGAGACGAAGCAGAACGAATTGTGGGTGACGACGAAAATCCATGGGAAAAGGCGACGCCACGGGATGGAATCCCGAAGCACTAAGCGTGTGCGACACTTCTGCGGCACGATGAACCTGAAAAATATAATAATACGACAACATTAGTTGGCAACAGGCGAAGCAGGAAACGCGGGGAACTCGGTGTCCAAGTGTCCCGAGGCAAACATCACCGACGAAACTTGGGGAACTCTTTTTCCAAGTGTTCAGAGGCAGACAACACCGACGAAACTTCGGAGGGAGCTTGTTGAGAGAACCAAAGACCAACAACAACAAAAACGAAATTGAAGCAAAGGCGAGAGAGAACGGACATCCAGGTCGCGGCAGTTCACTGATTCAGCAGGCAACAAAGAAGAAGGATCACTCGATACTAAGTGTCTCCGGGCGGCGTGCCCCAAGCGTCCAAAACAAAAATAAGCCAACGAAAGAAAAGAGACAAGACAGAAAAACAAAACAAAACAAAATAAAATCAAACGGAAGGTGACAGAAAAAAAAAATAAACGTCGGCGAGAAGGATGGCACAAAAGACCAATATAAGCCCATTGGTATATGAAAACGACGACGCTAAGAAGAAACGGTGGGAACAGCCCATGGTAAGGAGTCAGCAAGGAGCGGAGTGCGACCACGGTTGTCGCCCAGAGGGCGCGAACGATGTTTCTCTAAACACCATGATCCACAGACGGCGTCCATGGCGGTGGAGTAGAGATGCGCACGCAGAGGCAGAACGCTTGGGCCCGGGTCATCCAAAAATCGAACGATGTACGAGCCGCCCTGATGAGCACCAATACGTCCGGTCCACCACAATCCATCACGGGCCTTGTACCACAGCCGCGCGCCAACAGGGAGGGGTAGAGTGCTGAAACGGCGAAACCAAGTCGCATTAAGCACAAGATCAGTCCCAGGAGGCAAAATAGCGTTCTCCACGATTGCGGGCTAGCTCCCGCTGTGCCGCGCGAGTCCGAGCCACTCGATATGTACGGTTACCCTGCTTGCTTTGGCAGGCCTCCCGGGACCAGTACAAGAGGATGTGTCGACGGAATAGATCAAGGTCGGATTCCCGTTCCCATGAAGGAGTAGTCAGGCCTACCCAATGCGTCTGGTACAGGACAGCGAGAACGCCGCTACGGCCCCGCACCAGTTGATGTCCCGAGATGTAGTCGACCTCGAGGCGCCCGACAGGCACCGACACATCATCCACGGTGACGTGGAAAGGTGGACATTTATCTCCGAAAGAGCGCAGAACATGTCGCGAAAGCTCGGCCGGCAGAGATTGCGGCAAGTCGTCCGTCTCGTACGGATTGCGACAGGGCTTGCAACGAAGGACAGACACGCGACAACGAGCTGCCGGCCGGAAAGATTGGAAGGCAGGTCCAGGTAGAGGAGTTGATGCGCCAACGGGCGGCCGTCCGGAGTGGCGTCGGCAGAGGTGGGACCCACCGCAAGAACTTTGTAGGGCCCGTCCAGGAAAGTGCGAATTTGGCCTTGAGCACCTGTTGGTCCGTGTCCTTCTGCACACCCTGTCGAATTGTAGCAGCCGTGTTGTACACCCAAGCCCACCCGCCAACGGTAAACTGAGGGAGCTTGTGGATGGCGTCCAGCAGGGATGAATTTCGGCGTTCGACTCGCGAAATCTTCAGCGCGTTGTACTCACGGACAAGTTCGTAGGCCCGGCGCTGGCGATCGACAGCCAGGTTGCAATACTCGGGTTGATCGCGGGCCAAGCTTTGATGACCACTTACCGTGGGATGATCGAAGACCGAAAGCGGGAGTTGCGGGATGCGTCCGATGTGGATCTCGTATGGTGTTAATCCAGTAGATTGGTTCACGGAAATGTTATAGGCAAACTCGACGTGCGGGAGATGCATGTCCCAATCGTTTTGTTGTTCGTTGACGACCACCGCAAGCATCTGGGCCATCGTGTGGTTGACGCGTTCCGTGCCACCGTTGGTCTGTGGGTGGTAGGAGCTGGTGGTGACCCTCTTGATCTTCATCACCTCGTAGATCGCCACGGAGGGCTTCGAGCAGAAATGCAGTCCGTTGTTCGACAACAACGTAGTCGGACATCCCCACTTGGTCATGTATTGGTTGACGAAGATGTGAGCCGTCCCTCTCGCCGTAAATTCCGCCGCTGTGACTGCGAACATGTCGTCTCTCCGACTGAAACGGTCTGTGAACAACAAAATGTAGGAGTTGCCATTGGCAGTCACTGGCAGAGGTCCGAAGAAGTCGACGCCGACGACCGTACCAGGCCCCTGCGGAAATGGCATAGCGATGACGGGCCATCGAGCAGTCTGACGTGAAGTCTTGCGAGCTTGACACACCAAACACGCCCGAAGCCACCAGCGCACGGAACGATCCAAACCAATCCNCCGAAGAAGTCGACGCCGACGACCGTACCAGGCCCCTGCGGCAATGGCATAGCAATGACGGGCCATCGAGCAGTCTGACGTGAAGTCTTGCGAGCTTGACACACCAAACACGCCCGAAGCCACCAGCGCACGGATCGATCCAAACCAATCCACCAGTAGAAGCGCTCGAGCAGACAATGTGTACGATGGACACCGAGATGGAATGACGCGGCGGTATGGCATTCATGAAGGACCCACGGACGCATCAGCATTGGCACGTAGACGCGGGGCACGCCAGTATCCGGCAGACGAGTNNNNGCCAGTATCCGGCAGACGAGTGGTCCGACCGCCAGAGCGCCCAACCGGCGACGTCGCCGATTTATGTACGAGGAGGGTGATGTTGTCATCGGTCGTGTGCAGTCTGGTTTTCGCCGCCAACACAAGCACATCATCTAGCCGAGGGGAGTGAGGAGGAGCACAGAGAGTGAGCAAGCCCGAGGGGGCGGGGAGGGAGAACCGCAAGACGAAAAACGCATAGCCACCACACACTGGCTCTCCCGCTGCTGTTCCCTAGCCCAGTCCACAGTGCTGAAACTCTGAACACAAGCCCGCAACTGGGAGGTGTCCAAAATGATTCAGAAAAAATATCAGGCGACCCAACGGACGAGGCCGAAGAAGGCGAAGCCTCAGCGACAGAGGCAGCCGCAGTCGAGGTGATGTCCGCGAAGGCGACATCGTGAGTGGCGAAGTCCCGGGCGAAACCTGTAGAGAAGGCGAAGTCGGGGATGCAGGGCGCGCCGCTGACGGCGAAGACACCGGTGGCGCAAGAGCAGTCGACGAAAACGCCGATGCCGACGTTGCGGATGGCGGCAGCAGACGCGCGGCGGTCCGGG